ATAAATGCATATATGATCCTTGATGCTTTCTAGAAGATCATACAGTGATAATTGGGGCCCCTTGCATTGTCCTTTAAGTAATACATGCATGTTAACAACCATTAAGCTGTGTGTGAATGTGTGTTGTGTTAAGGCAGCCTATTAGCTGTCTTTCTTAAGCCTGTTGCCTTAGTGTTAGAGTGTGTGTTTGGGTGCTACTCAGGATTTTTAAAAATATCAGTGAAAACCACTTCACATTATATCACTTATATTAACAACACCTCCATCTCCAAAAAATAAATGTCAGGGATACTCCAGTTAGGCCTAATATCCCTGTTTAAAATTGGCCTGCTGCTGGTTGTGGCATCTGCAGGCTGATTTTCTTGTATGAATATACCTGTCCGTGCCTTGTGTCTCTATATTTCAGCGTATACATTCTCAATTCTTATAGTAAAACGGTGATCTTTGATCATAGCCCGTGATCTTTGTTGTCTCTTGTATATTTTGGCTTAGTCATGCTCATCAATGTTGCCAATGTTGGCCAATTTTACACAGCTGTATCATCTATGATCACTTAATTCTTAATGAGAGTTTCACAACCATTGCCCAGTGGCAGGAGAGGTTTTGTCTCGATCTGGGATCAGGCTCGGAGTCCAGTAGCTGAAACAGCAGGCAAGTTTGTGGTATAACAGGCCGGGTTTGGTACACAAGCAGGCGGTAGTAGTGGAGGAGCGGGCAGAAGTGCAGTCAGCAAACAAGCCAAGGTCAGTAGCCAAAAGGTATCAGCTGTGAAGCAGAAGATGATGAGAGTAGTCGGTGAATCAGCAGCCAAAGGTCGGTACATGGGTAGCAGTATGAGTAGATTGTAGCACAGAGGGAGCAGGAAGGAAGATATTAGCAGGAGCACAATAATTTGGCAAACAAGAAGTGCAGAGGCGTGGCTTAAATAGGGAGGAGCAAGGAGTTCAGAGTTCAGCAGAAACTAGGTATAACTGAGGATTAAACAGGAGATCAGGCAAGGAGCTTTCCAGGGTTCTAAGGTGGCTCAGCAGGTAGAACCACCACCAGCTACAACAGAGGTTCCGGGTTCAGATCTGGTTCCTGACATGTTTGCATGAATGAGCACTGGGAAAGCCTGAGTCTTTATCCATCTGCCAATCAAAGCATTGATGAAGAAGAATGTGTTGTTGCTTTAACGATCTGAAAGAAGTCTTTTTACTAAGCTGAACTGACTTAGACCGGGTTGCTGTTGCTGTATGTAAGCCAAGCTGATTCCACAGCCAAACAATGATCTCCCTCGGTATTCTGTCACTGAGGCTGTCTGTGAACATTGTATTGTTCCCGAACAACACGTAGAACTGTCAGACATCCCCCAAACTCGTCATTTAGAGGATTTTTGTTTTTTTAATGTCACCTTTGAAACCACATGAAAAGGATCCTCTCCCTGTTCTACTATATGCAAATAAAATGGAATTGGTACATTTCTCCCATGTCCCCCATGGCCATTCCCAACTTCACATCCGATTACACAGAACTGACTAACAAGATTCTCACCCATTGACTTCAATGAGATTTACCACTAGGTTTGGGTTCTTTACATTTTTAACAGGATTTTCAGTTGCCATTAATGATATCAGTGACCACATCATATGGGGGGGTTCCTGTATGAGATGAGCATATAGAAATCCCTAACAGTGGTTCAGATGGATCAAAAAACATCAGAGGAAATCACATTTGTTATCTAGGCACAGCACCGCTTAGCCAGTGCATCATGGTAATACATACTAGTTAGTAAACTCACAGTATCTGTGCTGAAGCCTGTGTACAAATCCCCCTGAGCTGCATAGAACATACTGTGAGGATTTCATTTGGTTGCCTGTGCCCAGGGAGAGATGCTGGAGAAAGCCAGCAGCAACCCCAAGGGGCGACCTCCCCATTATGGACCTGGTGCAGGTATGATAGCTTCAGGTCTGCATTGCCAGGTCACCTTCCCCCTTCTCCGGCCTGCCTCTTCTTCACCTTTGCACTGTAAAGCCTTTCTGCCATTCAGTTTAACATTTGATCTAGTTATTCTGTGTAAAAAAATATATATAAAAATATGGGACAAATATTTAACCAGCTCAGTATATGGCAGATACTTGAAGAATCAAGAAGGGAATGTTTTGCAGGGACAGGTCTATAATTTTGCCACTTTACACATCAATGGTTCGGCCTCACCTGGAGTATGCGGTGCAGTTTTGGGCACCGGTCCACAGAGGGGATGTCCTTGAACTGGAGAAAGTCCAGCGGTGGGCGACCAAACTCATAAAGGGGATGGAGGATCAGAGCTATGAGACACGGGGGAGGGGATGGAGGACCAGAGCTATGAGACAAGGGGGAGGGGATGGAGGACCAGAGCTATGAGACACGGCTACTAAATTTAAACATGTTTACGTTGGAAGTAAGGAGATTAAGGGGGGACATGATTTTCATGTACAAAATGTTCCATAGTCATAGCAACATTAGCAACAAACTCTTTGAGATTAATTCCGTAACAAAGACTAGAGGACACCACCTAAAACTGGTAGAAAAAAAATTCTAACACAAGGGGTGAAGGGGGTTCTTCTCAGTCCGCGCGTTTAGCGTCTGGAACTCACTGCCTCAAGCTGTAATTTCCGCAATTAGTCTGGAATCATTCAAGAGGCTTTTGGACGACTTCCTGAGAGACCGAAATGTACAGGGGTACAGGTACTCTTAAGAATGAGAACACTCATTCTACACACACACACACAACAGGTTGGACTTGATGGACTAACGTCTTTATTCAACCTCAAATACTATGTAACTATGTATATTGGGAGAGTTTTTATGGCTTCCTGCCTTCCACACATCAGCAGTCGTCTTTCATCCTTATGGAAAGTGAACTCCTATTAGTTGATTTGGGGTACTAACCTTCTCCAGCCATCCCTACATTTATATATGTATTATTTATATATAGGAGGTGTAAAGGTTCATGTATGAGGACCTGTCAGTGCACAAGCAGTCTATGACAAGACATAGGTCAGGCAGTATACTCTTTGCTGCTGTCCCATCTGATTGCACACATGGCTGTACTGGGGGGAAGGAGATGTACCCCTTTCTGATGGATAGACAACATTACCTGGAAGACTAGAACATATGGGTGAGGAATGTACCATCTACCCTGTAAAATGTGTCCTCTGAAGGTTCCTCTTCCTAGATCAGAGGTGCAAAGAGGACAGAGAAGGTAAATGGAGAATAGAGGCCTACTTGTCTTATGGGAACTGGGGCTGCTCCGTAGAGCCATGAATTCCAAAGCCAACCTCTGTGAACCTCTCATGTTGGTGAATTTTTGATCTTGGACTTCCAAGGGGCTCATTGGAGTCATTGTTTACAAATACTTTTTAAAATTATTTTTATTGCTGCCCATTGGTAGATAAAGATCTTCAAATTTACATGGGCGTGTCTATTTCTTCATATACCCAGCAGAGCCCCAAGATACCTACAGTGGTGCCAGTCCATCATAGCTGTTGGTTCTTAATAGAAGAGGGTTACATTGTATTTGAGTAGACATCCCAACCACCTTATGGTTGGGGTGTCTATTGGTGAGTGAGAGAGCTCTCATTGGACATGGGGATGGTAGTTAATGGATGAGGAACATTAGGACTCCGTACTGAAGGGAAATTAAATAAAAGAGGGGCTCAGAGTAAATATTTTTTGGATAATAAATGTGTTGTGCAGTTTGTGCTCTTATTTAGGACTTCAGAATGGAGTACAGGATCACTTTAGAAGGACATCCCCATTCTTACAGTTTATAGGGATCTTTGTCATCACATGGAGTCAGAGCAGAAGTATCGCTGACACCCAGACAACTAGCATTTCCAATAGGAGGCCAGCAATGGCAGCCTATGTATTCCTCCTGCACTCCGTCCTCTCCTCTATCCCCAGTCTGCTCCTCCCCCGTCCCCTCCTCCCCCGTCTCCTCCTCCCCCGTCTCCTCCTCCTGTGTAAATTGCACCTCCGGCTATTCTGGTCTATACATAGCACACACACATGGAAAGAGGAAGTACAGACTCACTCTCGCTCATATGATCCCGGCATGTTCAGTACAGTCAGTCTAAAAGTCAAGTAAGGCCCGGCCATCCTATCTGAGATCTCAGCGTGCTCAGCAAACACAGAGTCATGGAAGAATACTTTATTGTATTTTACTATCAACATTTTACACAACAAAATTAAAAAATTGAATAGATCGGATTATAACATTGTAACCTGAGATAAAAGTGACAAAAAAAACGTACAGTTCCCGATCCCTTCCCACCGGGTGTATGGACATCTGTCAGCTCTTTGTTTTAAAGGAAACCTGTCAGGCCAGAAATATCTGGTAGGTAGGAGATAGTGCTGGACCAATGAGGATGGGAAAAGGTCCTAATGAGTATAGACCCCTACTCGCTGAGCCATTTACTTGGAACACACAGGAAGCCACTGGGGACTGAAATGTCTGAACTCCCATCCTGCACACTGGCTCCATGTCGCTGACTTACTAGATGGTCCCGGATCAGGATGACAGTCCAGGAGATTTTATCGTGACAAATTATTCAGCACAAAGGAAGCTCCCACATCTCTACCATCACAGGTTCTCTTGGTGGAAATCATATGTACTATGGAAGGTGTACAGGGAAGGGAGGTCATGTCTCTGATATTTTATTTGTATCCTTTTATTTGTTGTATAATTCTGTCTTTAGTTCAGAAATAGAGATATTAAGCCCCGCCTTCCTTTTATTTCTGGTTGTCCCTAGGAGGTTAGGTTTTAGTATAATTTGTAAAATGCTCTCCCCTCCCCCCCATAGATATATTCCATTATAAATCATTACAAACAGTTGGGGTCGGTGTGAGAAAAGTTTCCTATAAGATTACAGGGATCAGTGTATGTATAATGGTGTGAATAGGGAATTCATCCGTCTTTTCCCAGCAATCACAGAGCGATCAGTGCGGTCACACAGCGTCTCTCTCACAGATCAGTGCGGTCACACAGCGTCTCTCTCACAGATCCAGTGCAGATTGGTATAACAGTTCTCCAGTATCAGACGTGATCCGAGCTTGGCACAGCTTCCAGTCCCTTCACTGACAGTCCTAGATAAGAGATAACATTGGGTGAGAGGATTCCCATAGTCATTGCTGCTGAGAAGTAAAAGGAAGGGGGGAGGGGGACCATGGAGACAATATGTACAGAGACCTCCACTTATGTAGTTGGGTTTGGTGGACGCTGGAGTGGCTGGTGATTGGGTTCCATAGAGTCAGATCAGCGAGCGGACGAGACGTCCCTGTACCCACACGGCGCAAGCGCCAGTGGGCAGGACAAGCGGTCACGGCTCTGGATGTTAAGAGCCGCTGCATGGCGTCGTGTTGCCGAGGCAACCAGCAACGCTTCGTTCCCGGTGCGCTCGCGGTCCTGACACTTGATACCGCTCTGCACTTGGTCTTGCGATCTCTAACCCAAACGATGTATTTCGCTACCGGGTGAGTCACACTTATATGTGCTGTTGGGAGTCACTGAGGGTTCAATAGATATGGCCGATATTTACATCATTCTGCACACGTCCTTTTCAAATACATAACGGCAGGCGTGACGTCATAGCGACGCCCCCAGGTGGATGGGAGTGGAATTCGTTACATGTTCAGGAGCAGCTCATTGTTAAAGTGTTTAAATTTGTATGTCTTTCACTTCACTGTTATCTCTAAGCCTGATGAAGGGGACCCGGCGAGGCCCCGAAATCGCTTGCCAATGAGACACAGCTACTGGCAATAAAATATTTTGCTTTTTCAACTCATGGTGCGCTGGGGACATTTTTCTATTGTTCATGTGTGGCGGCGCCATCCGCAGTCATTTCCAGCACCCATCTTCATCAAGTGGGAATCCCGGTAAGGAGTGCGGTATGGTTCCTGGGTACCATAGAGGGCACTGCACAGATATCACATGTCCAGTCCTATGAGAGGAGAACGAGGTAATTGGAGTGTGTCAGATGGGTTGCTGGTTCCCTTAAAAGTGCTCTGAGAGAGAAACTGCCATTGGAAAGTTACCACAGGAGGATTCATGAGCTGCCAGAGGAGGACTCCCATAGAAGATCTGCCATACTTCCTGCCTGCTAACAGGAAATGATAACAGTCTTCTGTACTTGTTTGTTTCTCATTGGCTCTCAGGACTCAGTAAAGATAAAGAAACATCAGTGCTGTCATCCAATCACAGTGTGCGCAAATGTATATAGAGGAAGAGGCAGAAGCATGGCATCCCGCAAAGATATTCTCCTGAAACATTGTGTATCTGCAGCTACGGAGAATATAAAGTCATGTGATACTTACTCCATGCTGCCGTCTGTCCATCTTCCTGTCCACGTTTCACCGTGCTTGTTATATGGGGACAATCCGACCCAGAATTCCTTTCCTGTGATGGTCACCAGTCTCTGGATAACATGAAACATAAAACTAGTTATCTGCTCATCTGTAATCCCCTCACCTTCCACTGCTTCCAGCCAACAATTCTCCAGATGGAGATATACAGATATAAGACCTGGAAGGCTTCTCCAGAGTTCCCCATTCACATTTAGATGTCTGTACAACAGCGGCATTTACAGGTCAATAACGTATAAATATCTATAATACACATATCATCTTATGGGGAGATTGGTGTTGGAATGAAAGGTTCGGTGACGGGATCTTTTTTAAAGCAAATGTTTTCAGGGCTTTGATAGTTGATAATATAACACACACAGAGCAACAAGAAGATACAATCAGGTAGACTGATAACAGGGTCTCCTTAAAGGAGAACTATGGGGTCAGTGTTTTTCCCCATAGTTCTCCTTAGGGTAACGGAAGGACACAAACTAGCGTCCTCCCGTCACCCTAGGCTCAGTATATAGGGAGCTACGGCTCGCGGTATACTGAGACGCCGGAGCGGATCCCGACGTAGATGACGGGATCCGCGCAGCTGCGTGAGTGACAGCTGGCTCTGCCTATCTAGAGACAGAGCCAGCTGTAACCGCCCCCTCCCCCGTCCATTCCGCCGGTCAGCGCTGGCAGATCGGAGCTTTCAGTGTGAAACAATTGGTAAAATTAACATTTTAGTTTGATGGGATGCTATGTACCAGTGCACAGTTAGTCATTTTAAAGGACCAAATTGCAATCATGTTCTGTAACCCAAAGTACTGAATTAACATCTTGCCGTCCGTCCATTGTAAATACACGGGCAGACAGCGGACTCTTCCCAGCAGGTGGACGTACATATGTGTGATTTTTTTTCTGCAGGCGCGCAAAAGCAGAATCCCACTGTGTATGTAAACAGCCGGTACCGGTTGTTACAAACAAGCTTTGGGACGGCTCTACAGTCAGCAGATCGCTTGTATGACAACAAACAGCGTGCAGCCCTCCTCCACTGCCGCGCTCCCCCCTTCAGATGCCCAGCTCCCCTCAGCTGCTGTGCTCCCCCCCCTCCACTGCTGCTCCCCGATTATCCCGGGCTCCGCTGTCCCCCCTGCGGGTCCGGGACCGGCACAGCGGCTGTGTACTCTGTAAATGGAGGAGAGATCGTCATTCTCCCACCGCTGATCTCTCCTCCACTCTCTCTATAGGCGGAGGTGATGTGTATTACATCACTTCCGCCTGTAGCTGTCATTTCTCCGGATGCTGTAGCCGGAGAAGAAGCTGATGAAGAGCC